TTTTAAAATTTTTATATTTTCCCATTCTTCAAATTCTTTCTTATTTCTTTCTTCTTTTTCCCACTCAGTCACCTGCTCCCCCACATTATTTTTAATCTCCCTTTTTGTTGCTGTTCTGCCCTAAATCAGATTTCTTCTTTCTTTTTCTTTTCTTCTCTCTTTTTCCTTTGTTTGATTGTTATTAGTTTCAAAGGAAAGTGAGTACAATTTATAGCTTCCCTATTACTGTTAAGTTGTTCTATTCTTCTTTGTTCTTGCACTCTGTCTTTCTCTCTTGTCTTCCAGAGTATCCTAGAGTTGGCATGATCAACCTGTGTCCTCTGGATTCACATGAAACCTTCCCCTATATTTTTATATATCCATTCCTCTCCTCCTAACTCCTTCTAAGTCCCATCCTGAAGGGTAAATTTGCTATATTGCAGAGTTTATTCACTATAAGCACATTTTGGGTTTTCCTTGATTTTGATTGAATACATATGGTTAAATACAATAGATTAATAACTACCACAAATTATCAATATCTAAGCTCTGCTTGATGCTATTGTGTTTCTGGTTGTATCAATTGGGCTAAAGAGTTGTGATTGATTTATGTAGTTGTCTTTTCTGATATTATTAAAATGAGAGTGTCTATGGAGAAAACACTTAAGCAAGGAACAAAGACAAACTTACAGTTCACCAATGGCAAACTCTAGTGGAAATGAGGTGGAAAACTCTGACAATCAACAACCTGGACACAATGAACTCATAGCACAGGAAATAACAAAACAGATCAATCAGGATCCAGAAAAATTCAAAACAGAAATAATTTCCCAAAAAATTAGAGAGATGGTGAGCACAAAGAAAATCATGATTAGTGATTCTAGAACAGAAACAGATAAAAAAAAATAGATGAGTTCAGGTCCAAGATACAAGCCATGAATGCTGAGCATAGGAAAGAAATAGAAACCATGAATGCCCAACATAGTGAAGAAATGAAATCCATGAAACAGATTTAAACAGAGATATCCAAGATATTAAAAACTATTGAAAGCATTTGCAGCAGGATACATGACTGTGAAGATGAAATTTCAGGTATAGAAGATAGGAATACAGTCAGTGACTGTGAAAAGAGACATCTCTTAAAAACAGTAAGGGATCATGAGTACTTGATCCAAAAACTCCTAGATTATGCAAAGAAGAATACAATAAGACTGATAGTAAGCCAGGAATTAGAAGGAGAAAGTACAGATGTTTTAGAAAACTGTTCATAGAATTAATGACAGAAAATTTCTCAAACAGAGTGGAAGAATTTGACATACAGATAAGTGAGGCATACAGGACTCCAACAAGCCATGATCAAAATAATCTACACATAGACATGTAATAGTGAAGATATTGGAAACCCAACAGAACAAAACCCTGCAAGGAGTTAGAGAAAAGAAACAAATCATATGCAAAAGAAAACCCATCAGAATCACAGAAGACCTTTCAACACAAACCCTCATGCCAAGGGAAGCCTGGAGTGAGGTATTTCAAGCCATAAAAGAAAATAACCTCCAACCTAAACTGATGTATTCTGCAAAACTCTCTTTTAAAATGGTTGGGGAACTAAGATACTTCCATGACAAAGAACACCTGAGAAACTTCATGAATACCAAACCAGCACTCCAAACAATTCTAAACAATATCCTAGAAAAAGACAATTAATGTCAATATACCACATGGCCCAACTGAGCAAATCAATTAGGCAAGGCAAAAAACTGAAGGGAGAGTGGGAAAAATTAAAAAAAGCCAACAATAGGAAAATAACATGACAATAAGTCAATACATATCAATTATAACTATGAATCCTAATGGCCTCAATTCACCCACAAAAAGAAATGCACTGGCAGAATGATTAAGAAGCAAAATCCAACAATATGTTGTATACAAGAAACACACATAGTTCAAAAAGAAACACATAGACTCAAAGTAAAAGGATGGAAAACAGTTCTCCATGAGACAGAAGCCCATAAAAAGCAGGGGTAGCTATCATATTCTCAGATGAAGTAAATTTTGAACCAAAACTAATTAAGAGAGAAAAAGAAGGCCACTACATCCTTGTAAAGGGCACAATCCAAGAGGAAGAGATGACAATCATAAATATATATATGCACCAAATATTAATACCCCCAATTATATAAAAGAAATATTGAGCAACATGAAAAACCATATAGGCACTAGTACAATTGTAGTAGGGGACCTAAATACACCACTATCAGAAATAGACAGATAATCTAGCCAAAAGTCAACAATGAAATACTAGAAATGAACCAAGCTTTGGAACAAATGGACTTAATATATGTCTACAGAGTGTTAGACCCCTGAAAATCAGAATATACATTATTTTCAGCTGCACCTGTGTCATTCTCCAAAATAGACCATATGCTAGCTCATAGAAAATGTTAAAATAATTTCAAGGAAATTGAAGTTATTCCATGTATATTATCAGAACATACTGCAATTAAGCTGAAAATCAATAGTGTAAGAAACCATACAAACTCCACAAACACATGGAAAGTGAACAACATTCTCCTGAACAATCAATGAGTCAGAGGAAATTAAAGAAGAAATTAGTCAATTTTTACACATAAATGAAAATTCCAAAACAACATAAAATTATCTATGGGACACAATGAAAGCAGTGCTATGTGGAAAATTCATAACAGTGAATGCCAACACTAGGAAAACAGAGCAAGCCCCAAATAGATCACCTAATGATGAATATTGGACTCCTAGAAAAGGAAGAGCAAAAAAAGAAAAACACAAAGCTCATACAAGTGAGGAAATTATAAAGATCAGATCACAAATCAATGGAATGGAAACTAAGAGAATGTTACAAAAAAAATCAATGAATTGAAGAGTTAGTTTTTCAAAAGAATAAATAAAATCAATAAACCCTTAGCCCATCTTGTCAAAAAATGGTAAGAAATTGTTCAGATACATGCAATTAGGAAGAAAAATGTGAAGTCACAACAGATCCAGGAGATATCTAGAGGATCATCAATATCTACTTCAAAAACCTATGCCTAAATAAAATAGAAAATACAGAAGAAATGGACAGATTCCTAGACACATATGAATTTCCAAAGTTGTACAAAGAACATATGAAATGTTTGAAAACCCCAATTACATTTAGTGAAATTGAAAATTTAATTAAAACATTATCAACAAAGAAAAGCCAAGGCTCTGATGGCTTCACTGCTGACTTCTACAAGACATTTAGATAAGAACTACTTCCACTTGACTTTAAACTCTTCAATGAAATTGAAAGGGAAGCAGTGCTTCCAATTTCATTCCTGGGAGCAAGTATTACTTTTATTCTAAAACTGGAGAAAGACCCAAAGAAAAAAGAGAACTACAGGCCAATCTTCTTAATGAACATAGATACAAATATCCTCAATAAGATACTTTAAAAAAGATTACAGAGGTGCATCAAGAAGATTACACACAAAGACCAAGTCAGTTTTATTTCAGGGATGCAAGGATGGTTCAATTTATGTAAATCAATAAATGTAATACACTATATTAGCAGAGTCGAGGACAAAAAACATATGATCATCTCAATAGATGCAGAAAAATCATTTGACCAATTTCAATGCCCATTCATGATTAAAAAAAACCTGCAGAAAATTGGAATAGATTTTCTTTATCTCAACTTGTTTAGGGCTATCTTTGAAAAAACAACAGTCAACATCATATTAAATGGCTAAAAACTGAAAACCTTTATGGTAAAATCAGTAACAAGATAAGGATATCCACTATTACCACTCCTGTTCATTATAGTTCTAGAAACCTTAGCCACAGCAATTAGACAAGAGAAAGAAATTAAAGCAATAAAGATAGGAAAGGAAGAAGTTAAACTGTCATTATTTGCTGCCGATATGATACTCTACATTGAAGACCCAAAAACTGTACCAAATGACTTCTAGACTTAATTGACACTTTCAGCAGAGTAGCTGGATACAAGTTCAACACTCAAAAATCAATAGCCTTCTTATACACAAATAACAAAATCACTGAGAGAGAAATTAGGGAAACAATTCATTTTACAATAGCATCCAAAAAATGAAGAATCTAATGTAGGAAGTAAAAGACCTTTACACTGAAAACTACAGCACTCTGAAAAAGAGATATTGAAGAGGATATAAGGAAATGGCAAGATGTCCCCCACTCCTGGCTAGGAAGAATCAACATAGTGAAATTGGCTATACTTCCAATACTGCTATGCAGATTCAATGCAATCCGGATGGAAATTCCAACAGTATATTTCACAGAACTAGAGAAATTCCAAAAATTCATTTTTGTACAAGAAGAGATCTAGAATAGCAAAAGTAATTCTAGGCAACAGAGACATGGCAGGGGGTATCATAATTCCCAACTTGGAACTATACTACAAAGTCACTGTGATAAAAACAGCGTGGTACTGTACATGCACATGTACAAAGAAAAAGACCTGAGGCCCCAGCCTTCCTGTGGGCAGATTCCATGGTGCCTCTCTCTCGCCTTTTCTTATTTTTCCCCCTTCCCATTCCTTTTCTTTTTTTTCCCTTACCCCTTCCACCATTTCCCCTCAGAGGCACTTCCCCCAGGCAGGTCTCACCCCCCACCTCTCCCCTGCCCCTCCTGCCATATGGCGAGAAGGAGCCCAGTCCTCACTGGGGTACCAGAGGTGGCGGTGGCCTCAGTCCCACTGTCATCATGGAACTGAGTTACTGATGACCCCAGCTGCAGCCTTGTGTCCTGCTCACACCCCCAGCCTGGCCGCCCTTCTCCCTCCTTGTCCCACCCAGTCCTTGGCCTGTGCACCCCTCCAACTTTTGCAGAGGGAAGGAGGAGGTGATGCCCCAGATGCCCTTGCATTGTCCTTGAGAGGCGTATAGCTCTGCTGGGTAGGAGGCAGGAGGAGGAGAAAGAGGAGGAGGAGGAGGAGGAGGTGGTAGATACATCAAGCTGGGTGGCAGGCAGAGCCAAAGGACATCATGAAGTTACCAGGACCTTTGGAAAACCAGAGATTGTCTTTCTTATTGGAAAAGGAAATATCTAGGGAAGCCCAGATGTGGAAAGTGAATGGGCCAGAAATGGGTGCAAATCAGAGTGTTTCTCCATCCCAGAGAGATGAAGTAATTCAGTGGCTGGCCAAACTCAAGTACCAATTCAACCTTTACCCAGAAACATTTGCTCTGGCTAGCAGTCTTTTGGAAAGGTTTTTAGCTACTGTAAAGGCCCACCCAAAATACTTGAGTTGTATTGTAGTTAGCTACTTTTTCCTACCTGCCAAGAGTGTTGAAGAGGATGAGAAAATTCCAGTACTGAATGTATTGGGAAGAGACAGTTTCTGTGGTTGTTCCTTTTCTGAAATTTTGAGAATGGAGAGAATTATTTTGGATAAGTAAAATGGGGATCTTCACACAGCAACTCCATTCGATTTTTTTTCACATTTTCCATGCCATTGCAGTGTCAAACAGGCCTCAGTTACTTTTCAGTTTGCCCAAATTGAGCCCATCTCAACATTTGGCAGTCCTTACCAAACAGTTACTTCACTGTATGGCCTGCAACCAACTTCTGCAATTCAAAGGATCCATTCTTGCTCTGGCCACAGTTAGCTTGGAAATGGAGAAACTCATTCCTGATTGGCTTCCTCTTATAAATGAACTTCTCCAGAAAGCACAGATGGATAGCTCCCAGTTGATCCACTGTTGGGATCTTGTGGCACATCACCTTTCTACTCTGCAGTCTTTCCTGTCTCTAAATTCTGTTTATCTCTACCATCCCCTCAAGCACACCCTGGTGACCTGTTACAAAGGAGTGTTCAGATTACATCCCTCCTTTGTCTCAGGCCCAAATATTTCCAAGGACAACAGCAAGCCAGAAGTGCCAGTCAGAGGTACAGTAGCCTTCTACTCTCATCTCCCAGCTGCCAGTGGGTGCAAGCACACCTTTGCTAAATGCAAAGTGGAAGAAATGGAAGTGGATGACTTCTATGATGGAATCAAGTGGCTTTATAATGAAGATAACACTGCCAAAAATGTGGCTTCTCTGTGTGGCACTGATTTATCAAGACATAAGGGACATGCTTCCTCTTGTTCACCTTTGCAACCTATTTCTGTCATGTAGTTTCAACATGTGTTACCTTCCAGTGCAAACTAAAGGTGGCTACTTTAAGTACCACCTGTAGAACTAGGAAAGGCTATAGAGGGATATATACTTTATCAGGCTGATTTGAAGTGAGTCAGAAAAAAAAACATACCATTTACTTATGCAGTTAATTATAATTCAACATTGTTTAAAGGCCAAAACATTTTTAAAAGGTAAATTTCTTTGTTGTATGTAAGTTCTGCTTTTTTCTTTGCTAAAATGTAACTTGCCCCATATCAAAAAATTACAGTATTTGGGAAAAAATTCCAAAGTGCACTACTATCAACTCTCCCCCTGCACCCTGATTTGTATTCCTCTTGCTTGCTTCATTGACTACTTCATACATTTTATGCATGTTGATCTATGTTCTATGACTTCCACTGAATAGAATCCCCCCACACAAGTTTGTTTGTTTTTAAGCAAAATTAGTGTTATAGCCATATTTATTTCATGGATTAGATTCCAGTTAGTGTGGAAAGTGTACTTTGGAATTGTCCAGATGAGTCAGAGGTGGTAATAGACAAAGTTCTCACATTACCATATTGATTTTGTTCCTCATTTCAATTATTAGAGTTTAAAAACAAGATTATGGCTTTATTTGAAAGTTTAAAATGGCTTGTAACTAGAACGCTTAATTTGTTGAAAGCATTTTTGACATATGTATAAAAGAATTTGTGACAAATTTAATATATTCAGGGTGCTCACCAAAGAAAAGAAACCTGTATGTAGTAGCATCATTACATTTTTGTAACATATCTATTTCCACTCATTTGAAATCAGTAGGAATCTGTCCAGATGTTGGGGAATCTCTATGATTTGAGTTTGTTGTAATTCAGTAGCCTCATTTTATTTTAGGCTTGTTAGGATTTTCTGATGAAAATTATACCATGTCTCACAACCTGCCTGTTTTTCCCTTAATGATGTGGATCCTGAACTCCCTTTGCAATCTGAAGAAGGTGTTGCAGTCAGAACCATGTAAGGATGATAAAAGCCTCTGGTAGCAATAAAAAGTTATAAAAAAAAAAAGACCTGATGATTAGTGGAATAGATTGGAAGATACAGAAACAACTCCAGATATACTCAGCTACCTCATGGTTGACAAAGGAGCCAACCATCCTCACTGGAGGAATGACAGCCTCTTTAATAAATGATGTTGGTGTTGGAAAAACTGGATCTCAACCTGCCAAAGATTAAAACTAGACCCTTATCTTTCATCATACACTAAACTAAAATCTGAGTGGATTAAAGATCTAAATATTAAAACAGAAACTCTAATACTTGCTGGAAGATTAGTCAGGCAGAATTCTGGAAGACATTTACTAGGTTTCTGAGTGTGCCTTAATCCATTAAAGTTGACATCTGAAATTAACCAACACAATAAGAATTGCATATCTTTCTCTAAAGTTATTGTTTTTGTTGCTTTTCTCAATGTTGAGACAAAATACCCTACCAGAAAGAACTTGTTTTTCTAGTCTTTAGCTCCCCTATTCACTATAAACAAATGATAAATGCCTGAGGTTAAGGATATGCTAAATACCCTGATTTGATCTTTAAAAGTATTCATTTTCTTAAATGTATATTTTTATTAGAAATTGTTAATTTCATTATTATAGAATATAATACTGTTTTATTGTTTTTATTTTCTATATTCTTTTCAAGTCACAAAGATTTATTTTTATATATTACCAAATGGTCAGAGTGACAATTATATGCCACAATAATTTAAAGGACTTTTGCATAATAAATCTTGACTAAGCACAGAAAGAATGGTAATTAGTGGTGAAGATAATGCACTGCAATAGTTTGTAAAGCCTTCTTTTTTTTGACACATTCTTTTCATTAGAAATATGGTGGAGAGCTCAAATATTTATAAAGTTAGAAAAATCATAATTTCTCTGGATTAAGTGAAGGTAGAAATTATAAAACCATTTGTTCCTATGGACCTTTTATGTTATGCTAGATCTCAGGAAAAGAGTTGGAAAACACTAATCAATTCCAATCACCCTGCATTAAAGGGCATTAATCTGTATACTTAGGTCTGATCCAGCCATTTATAAAAATATTTGTATCTAATCAAAGATGTTAACTTTCTCTTCATAATAGACTGTCATCTATTAAGTGGAGAAATTAAACCTGTTGTAAATACTTTCCATTTATTGTAGGGATAATATGAGATGAATTATATTGCAAATATTTCAAAAATTATAGTAGAAATGATTCTGTAATGTAAAAATATGTTAACATTATTTTGAAAGCTGCTTTACCATAACAAGAACATTTAGAACTAAATTATGACTTTAAAAATAAAATATACTGGGCCTATCTTAAAAGACACTGCTGTATCATCTGTAGTTTTATTGTTATGACATTTTACCATGTATCCTATTACCTGAGTAAGGTAAATGATGCCTGTATGGTGAGCTGAAAAATTCCAAAAATGAATCAGTGGATCATAAAAATTAATTATATGTTATAAACATATGATGTACTGTGTCTCAAACAATGTGGCATAACAATAGCTATAAATAGCAGGATATAAGGTAGATTATTTAGAAACAGAGTAAAAGAATCACATTGTCTAATAGCCACAGAGCCTATCAACATCAATTATGTATTTTTATTAAAATATGTTCTTTTGTAGTCATGCTGAAGAAGCTGCCACTTGCATGTCTATTTGAAATTCATGAGTTCTGAGAAAAGGCAATTCTGTCATCATTATAAACCAACCATAGGCATTTGTGAGATACCAAAGAAAAGCATAAATAATCTTTCAGATGAACTTTTACTAAAAAAAATAGGCATAATATCCTAATCTATAGTTCATCTTTCAACTTATAAGTGTATGAAACTTGAATTTTAGAATTAATAGATGAATAAGTCTATTAAAATAATTTGATTGATATTAATCAGGAAGTATGAAGTCACACACTTAGCTTTCAGTGTTCTGCTTCTAGGCAAAGTAGGCACTTCAGAAGAAATGAAAAAGAAACATGTTAAATTTTCTGGAAAGAAGGCAATTATTTCCTCTTCTAAGTTTATATTCAGAACACACCCATAGCAAATATAAGTTCATATCACAAATAGTCCACAAGATATGTCACTATTTCTCAGAAATTGAGGTCAGCTTTTTGGACACATCACTATTCTGATATATTCTATCACCTTCATCTAGGAGATAAAATATTTGTTGTAGTGCCTCTTGTTTTAGGAGGAAGCATCTGTACAGAAAGGCATAATAGAGTCTGAATTCTTTGGGAAGAAGGAAATCATTTGCATTTTTTTTGCCATAAACCATTTTCTTGTTTTTCCAAGGAGCTCAGAGACTGTAAGGAATTTGTTTATTTGATGCAGTGCTTCTTCACTGGTTCTTAGAAAAATATAAATATTGGTGTTATTATTGTTATTCTCTCTCTCTCTCTCTCTCTCTCTCTCTCCCTCCCTTCCCCTCCTTCTGCCCCCATGTAATTTTACATGCATTTAACCCCTACCTTGCATAAAAAATGTCTAAGTTGAATGTGAAACCAATACTTCTAAGACAGTTAGGGCCTAGCAATTGAGTAATATGAAAAATGATAGCTAAATAGAACTACAATACTATAACATAAGTCAATAGTGTTACATGAGATATAAAAACTGTATTCTAATTATTTTCTATGTTATCAGAACAAGTTTATTATATGTAGGAGAACAGAGGAGTAAACAGAAGTATTTTATGTAAAGATATAAATATAAGTGGGACAATGTCTCAGCCACTTATATAATACCTAAAATACAATAGACAATCAGAAAAATCTACTGAATTATTAAAGTCTCTTATTTTATTCAATTTCAACTCTTTCCTCTGGTAAAACAATAATATGGAAGGATATTTATATGAGTTCAGCATAGAGAGGCTTTTGTTTTTGAAGATGTAAAACTATTAATCATAAAAGAGTATATCAATGTAGTAGACTACATTAAAAACAAAAACTCATTGTATTAAAGTTTTTGCAGTGAAAGAGAAACCACCAAAAAGAGCTAAGTGATAACCTACAGTGTGGGCAAAAATTTTTAACAAGTACTCCTTAGACAAAGGACTACTATCTGGAATATATAAAGAACACACAAAAAAATAGAAGCCTCCCCAAGTACAAAGACCCGGTCCAAAAATGGGCATCTGAAATGAACAGACATTTTTAAGAAAAAGAAGTAAAAGCATCAAGTAAATATATGAAAAAATGTTCAACATCATGGGTCATTCAAGAGATGCAGATGAAAACAACACTGAGATTCCACCTTACACCTGAAAGAATGGCTGCTATCAAGATATCAACCAATAATAAATATTGGCGGGGCTGTGGGGAGAAAGAAACCCTTCTCCATTATTGATGGGAGTGCAGACTGGTGCAACCACTGTGGAAATCAATATGGAGATACCTCAAAGAACTAGGGTTAGAGTTTCCATTTGACCCAGCCATCCCTTTGCTGGGTATCTTTCCAAAATAATTAAAAGAATCATACCACACTGGTATATGTGCACCCATGTTTATAGCAGCACAGTTTGTAATAGATAAAACTTGGAAATAATCCAAATGCCCATCAAGTGGAGACTGGATAAAGAAGATGTGATTTTTCTATAAAGTGGAGTACTACTCAGCCATAAAAAATGAGAAACTAGAGACATTTATATCTAAATGGTTGCACATTGAGGCCACTCTTAAATAAAATAAATAGGACACATTTGAGCAAATACCACAGTCTCTCTCATGTGAAAAACTAAAAGTATAAATAAAGTTCAAATGTTATAATTAATAGTGAGAAATAAGAAGAAAATGACTAAAGGGGAAGTGGGAAGGGGAGGAGAAAAGAAATAAGGGAAAAGAAAAATGTGAAAAAGGGAAATAATGGAAACAAAGTCTTTGTAAATGGGGAAGGGTGAGGGGTAGGCAGGGGTATGGGGAAAAATAGGAACCAAAGTATATCATGTAAAGGTACAAGAT